AACCACCAAAGTGGAGCCGTTCTTGAAGGGACCAAGAAACCCTCAACGGAGACCGGATCTGTTCCAAAACATCTGGATCGCTGTAGCTACTGAACCTATTTTAGACACCCAATGGGGAGCCAATGCTGTAGGCTAGGGATATCCGACCTTGGCAACGTTAAGACCTGTGGACTTCGACTCCCAGATTTCCCCAGCCATCCATGCCGGATGGAGAATTCTGGGAGTTGAAGTCCACAGGTCTGGAAAGGCGCCGAGGTTGTTGACTTGGGATCCCTGCCTTGAGAACTGTGGTTTCCATCAGTGCAAACACCAAACGGGCATCGCACGCAAGGGACAAGAAGGAGACCAAGGATGAAGGGAAACCAAGCCAGCTCTCAGCTGCAAACATCTGGGATCAATTCTCGATCCCAACGCCTTGAAGGACACAACGGCAGAGCCAAGGAAGGGAGCTCTCTAGGGACGGAGAACCCATCAAGCTTTGCAAGGCTCTTCCCCCCCCCTCCCTCCAGGGGTTGAAGACTACAACTCCCATCGTCATCCCCAGCAAGGAAGGTTGGAGTCTTCTTCTCCTGCAGATGTATTGGCCTACCATCTGGGATAAGAGGAGAAGTTGAGCAAGTTCAAGGCAGATGAGCCCATAATTCAAGATGTCCACTCATTTCAGACCCCTGGAAATGACACCGTCGGACACTTAAGAATCTTCGTGATATTCAGGGGCATCTTCGACTCTACGTTCCCAAAGGCTCTGCTTTCCCCCCTTCCTGGGTTTATCGGTTCGGTTGGTTTTTCAGGAATTCTCTCTTCTTACCTTTCCATCAAGACAACCATCACCGTACCAGCCTAACCAGAAAAAAACGGAATTCCTTTACTCAAAAATGGCTGTGCGCCATCGGATGTAGGCCTCTCCCTTGTTGACAAGATGTATGGGGCAGAAGATTTTCTTACCACCCCAAACTCACTGGATGTTGGGTGCGCAAATGCAGGGTTGTGTCTGCGCATGCCCAAGATATGGGCCGTTACCTTACACGGCAACTAATTCCCACAGCCCAGGGGTCTCCGACTTTGGTAACTTGGAAGACTTGTAGACTTCAACTCCCAGAATTCCTCAGCCAGACTTGGCAACATTTTACAACTTCTGGACTTCAACTCCCAGAATTCCTCAGCCAGCCATGCTGGCTGAGGAATTCTGGGAATTGAAGTCCACAAGTTATAAAGTTGCCCATGTTGGAGACCTTTGCCATAAGCAGGAAGAAGACCCAACTCTCGCCTCTCCTTCCCTCCCCTCCCCAGATTTCGCAACCTAAGTCAGAACAAGCGTAGTAGCTACAAGAGCAGAGGAAAGTTCTCAAGACCTTCTTAAGTCCGATCCCGAGGAAAAGCAGCTCCTTTCTATCGGTGGTCTCCTCCTTACAAAGCGAGGTTCGTTATTGAATTGGTCCCAAGTACAAGCAACATCGCATTGTTATTATTATTATTATTCCCGCCCTCCCCCAAATCTGATAACAGGAAGCCATCCTCACAAATGCTCAAATGTCGCGCTGGGTTCGTAAAAAAGTGTTTGAAAGGCAAAACGAACACTGGAGTTGCCCCCGCCGATAAAGGCCACTTCTACTGGGAAACGGCCTCTGCCATAATATTATTATTTTTTTAAAAAAGGAGAATGTTTTGCAGGATAAAAGCTTTGCCCCCCCCCCTTTCCCCCTTCTAAAAGAATACACACGTTGCAAGAATTGTTATTAAAATGGACGGAGGAGGGCATGGAAGGCCATCTCTCTCTTTCCAAAACATGTTCAAGTATTCCCGTATACTTTTAAAATGCATTTAAATGCAGCCTCTTCACAGAAGTCCATGGTCGGGCTTTCTGGTGCCAATGCTCAGCACACCATTGGGGCTCTCTGTCTCTCTCTCTCTCTCATAGTCTCTCTGTATCTCTCTCGTTCTCTGTGTCTGTGTGTTTGTGTGTTTATTTCTCTCTTGTTCTCTCTTTCTCTCTGTATCTCTCTCTCTCGTACTCTCTGTCTCTCTCACTCTCTGTCTCTGTCTCTGCATCACTCTCATTCTGTCTCTCGTTCTCTGTATCTGTCTCTTATTCTCTGTCTCTCTCTCGTTCTCTGTCTCTCATTCTCTCTGTATCTCACTCACTCTCTCTGTCTCTCTCGTTCTCTGTCTCTCTCTCTCATTCTCTCTGTCTCTCTCCTCTCTGTATCTCTCGTCTGTCTCTGTCTCTCTCGTTCTCTCTGTACCTCACTCACTCTTTCTGTCTCTCTTTTCTCTCATTCTCTCTCTGTCTCCCACTCACTCTCTCTGTCTCTCTCTTTCTTTGTCTCTCTCAATCTCTCTCATTGTCTATCTCTGTCTCTCTCGTTCTCTCTCTGTATCTCACTCACTCTCTCTGTCTCTCTCGTTCTCTCTCTGTGTCTCACTCACTCTCTCTCTCTCTCGTTCTCTGTCTCTCTCTCATTCTCTCTCATTCTCTCTGTCTCTCACTCACTATCTCTGTCTCCCACTCACTCTCTTTGTCTCTCTCATTCTCTCTTTGTCTCTCTCAATCTCTCTCATTGTCTATCTGTCTCTCTCGTTCTCTCTCTGTATCTCACTCACTCTCTCTGTCTCTCTCGTTCTGTCTCTCTCTCATTCTCTCTCTATCTCTTTCTCTGTGTGTATCTCTCTCTGCCTCTCTCATGTTCTCGTTATCTCTCTCTCATTCTCTCTCTCTGTGTCTCTCTCATTCTCTCTCTCTGTCTCTCTCTCATTCTCTCTCTGTCTCTCATTCTCTCTCCCCTGAAATAAAGCAAACTTAAGCTCCATCAACAGCAGCAGCAGTCAAGATTCTTCCTTTTAAAAAAAGTGATTAAATATTGATAGGCCAAATCTTCCCGTCTTTGCTAAAAGCCAATTTACACCAGACACTCATCAACCTTTTCTCTTCTTCTTCTTCTCCTCAAGCTTTCCCCCCTCTGTGCCTCAACCCAACATCTCTTTGCTTTGCGGCTGTTTTGCAGCCTTTCAAAAGAGGTTGATGAAGCCAAGTGCTTTAAAAAAAGGATCTGAAAATGGTTCTTTTTGAAGTTTCGAAAATCCCTTCGGGCGAGCGTGCGTGCATGTGTGTAGGTGTGAGACAATTAAGTCTTGGATTTCCACCGAAATGAGGCCGTGGACCTCCATTCTCCAACAGGCTAGTAGATCTTAAAAGCAGGAACTTGACGTGACGTGACGTGACAGTTTTGAGTGGCAATGCCTTCGCAGGGAGGTCATCCTGCCTTTGGACTCACTTCGGCCACCCCTGGCCAGGCTTTTAATGGCCAGAGGAAGCCCCTTCGTCCTGGATTGGCCGGGTGTCAGGGGAGGAGCTTAAGAGAAGCCCCACCTCCTCAAGCAAAGACCCCTTCCGAGGCAGGAAGAAGTAGGCAGCCCATGGGCCACAGCCAAGAGGCACAGCATATATTTTGCAATGAAAAAGATTAAATGAAGAGCATTAAATAAAACAGCTTCTCCAATTGAGGATACCGAAAGGGATAAACGAATGGATTTGCAGCTACCCACTGCCCAGTTTAATACCCCCTTTTCCCGTGTGTTTTTCTGATCTCCGAGACCTGGATGGCATATAAAAAAAGTACCAGAATCTCAGGCCACCTTATAAAATGCAGAAATGGATCCCCTGTGACGCCCCCATCTCAGGAAACCCTCCTCCTCCTCCTTCCCCCCCATCATAATCCTTGTAGCTCAGCCTTCGCTGTTCCCACTTGGGATCTGCCAAGCCATCATGGCGAATGCCCAGGAAGGTAGCCTAAGAGCCCAACATTTTCCTTCCTTCTTGATAGGGACAGATCCGAGACAACACAGATTAAAAAGTTCGCCCATCTACAGCACAACACTGAATGCAAAAGGCCGCCACCCCCACCTCTTCCCCCACCTCTTCCGGAGAAGCGCCTAGCTCCGTGCCCTTCTCCGCCACCCCTCCCCGCTCCTTATCGCCACTGTTCCACATTCCCGATGTAATCTGCGGTGGCGTTTTGGCCGTCCTGCTCTCTGCTGCGTCCCAGCTTGGCCCGTGAGACCTTCCGCTGCTCCTGCCGTTTCCGGCGGGCTTCCTGGTGCTCCTTCTGCCTGGTGAACTGGTAGCGCTGGAGGAAAAGGTCTTTTGCATAACCGTAGAGTTCCACGTCTAAAAAATTGAGGGCCTCGATCCGCCGCTGGGTGGCCCCCTCGATGTCCACGCTGGAGGCCCTGGTGCTGTTGTACTGGGTGAAGGGCGAAATGAAGTTCATGTTGAAGGTCTTCTCGAAGAGGTACTGGGTCTTCCGCTGGAATTCCGTCAGGCCGAAGAAGGCCATGCGCTTGAGGTTCTCCTTGGCGCTGTCCAGGAGGACCTGGTTCCGTTGCTCTTCCGGCATGACCGACAGGTTGTAGCAGCCCACCAAGCTCAGGTCAGCCAGCATGCGGACCTGGCGGTTGTTGGCCAGGTTGTAGGGACAGTCCATGAACTCCTGCAGAGAGCAGCCCGACCAGTCGTCCCCCGAGTAGCAGCTCGGAAGTTCCTCGGACGTGGGTGACCGTCCGTCGCAGACATGCAAGGAGGCCTTCCAGGTGGCTCCCCTTTGGACGTGCCTCCATTCGCTCAGGTAGCGGGAAACCGGGTCCCTCAGGATGGTGATGTAGTAGTAATTCCTGAGGGAGGAGAAGAAGAAAGAGAAAGCACCTTTAAGGAGAGAAGGCTCCGTGGGAGCTTCACTGAGAAGCAACTGCAGTTGGGAAGGTTGAGGTCCATCCCTGCCCGATTCAAATCCACTGAATTACCCGTATTTTTCAGAGTATAAGACGCCCCGAAGTATAAGACCTAGCACCTAGCTTTTGGGGAGGAAAACAAGGGGGGGGGGGAAATCTGCCTCTGCCTCCCAGCAATTTGCCTCCTTGCAGCAAACGGCAAACAGCCTGTTTCAGTTTCAGCTTCAGCACAGCCTGATTAGCACAAGCAGCTGATTGTGGGTTGGATCAGCCTCCCGACTTGGATCAGCTGTTTCAGGCTGCAGGGATTGCCATAGCCTGTTGCTGCCTCCGGGCGCCCCATTTTCCACCTGTCCCGGGCAGCGGGGCTGAGAATGGGTGGGAAATGGGGCACGCAGAAGCTGAAAACGGGGCGTGTAGAGGCCAAAAATGGGGCAAGCAGAGGCGGCAATGGCAATCCCTGAAGCCTGAAACAGCTGATCGTTGGGAGGCCGATCCAACCAACAATCAGCTGCTCGTGCTAATCAGGCTGTGATGAAGCTGAACCTGAAACAGGCTGTTTGCTATTTGCTGCAAGGAGGCAAATTGCTGGGAGGCAGAGGCCAAAGGGTGGGGGGGCTGGCAGGTGGGCAGGGCTACATTCAGTGTATAAGACGCACCCAAATTTTCACCCTCTTTTAGGGTGGGGGGGAAGTGCGTCTTATACTCCGAAAAATACGGTAATTTACAGGTGGTTCTTGACTTACAAAGTTCATTTAGTGACCGTTCAAAGTTACGACAGCATGGGAAAAAAGTGACTTTCGCAAGTGGTTGCAGCATCCCCATCGTGGTCATCAAGGGATCAAAATTGGCAGCCGGCTCAGATTTACGACGATCGCCCGGGGTGACGCGATCCCCACCTTCCGACAAGCCAGGTCAATGGAGCAGACAGGTTTACTTAACAACCACGTCACTAAGTCAACAGCCAAAGTGACCCACTTAAAAAACTTTGGCTAGAATGGGCTGGGGTGGGGGGTGGGGACAACTCACTTCACAACTGTCTCTCTTAGCAACAGAAATTTTGGTCGTAACTCGAGAACTACCTGTATTTATCAGTTCTAAGTCAAGCTACTGAATGGGCAGGAAAGGAGAATGCTGAAGGAACCGCTACCAAAGACGTCAGACCGACCCAGGCCCAAAAAACTATCACAAAAACAAGAACTGCAAAACTCACAAAAATGCAAAATTCTTTCATTTCAACCTCCCCTTGGTCGCTTTACTAGGCTACGCCACAAGAGGTCGCTGTTCCATGAAAAGAAAATTCCCCCCAGAGCCCACCTTCCTTTTTGCAGAAGAAAATAGCTAAAAAGTGAAACTTTCTCCTTAAAATCTGGAGCGAAAAGCACAATCTCTCCCAGACGCCCCCAAAAGGAGAAGAGAAACTGAAATGCATCAAATCCTCGCAAGATGAGCTTCGGAGTACCCAAAGCAGATCATTGTAATAGAGCTTTGTGGGGAAAAGGGCGGCATATAAATGTAATAAAATCAATCAATCAATCAATAGCTGCAACTGGAATTCCCAGTGAATCAAGTTGGTTCGTTTCCTCTCTCTCCCCCCACCCTCCTCTAAGGACAGAAAATCTGCAGGGATTAGCAGATCCAACTTTCCTTCTGACCGAAGACATTTTAAGAGTTTCTTCCCGAGTGGCAGAAATCAAAACAGCACTGAAGCAGAAAGGAAAGAAAAAAGGAATAAAAAGAAATAAGAAAGAAGGGGAAGGAGAGGAGGAAGTAAGTAAGTAGAGAAGGAAGGGAGAGAGAAAAGAAAAGAAAGAGAAAATAAGGTGGTGTCATAACAGGCGCTAGGGATGGTAAACAAAGCAATCCAAACTGTACCTTATAACCTTTTAAACGGAATAACAATAGTATAAGAATGGGAAGAAAGGAGGGAACTTAAGAGAAGAGAAGGAAGGAGGGAAGGAGGAAAGGAGGGAGGGAAGATATGAGAGAAGGAGGGGG